AAAAGTGCCCTCACCTTCTGTTATTGGGGCTGAGCAGCATTTGGAAAAGATGCGCTCCATCCTGGCCATGGAAAAGGCACAGGGAAGCTTTTGGGATGCCAGCGCAGGTGGTGCGTGTCCCACTTCTGCAGTGGGCCTTTCTGCAACCTCCTCACGCTCTCGGTTTGGGTTCCGCATCCCACGTGGGCGGCAGCCTTGGGCGCCTTCGCTCTGGACCTGAGCAGGGGCCTCCCGAGGAGAGGGCACAGGGTGTCACGCACACATTTCCAGCCATTGTTTTGTTTCACATTTCACATTTGTTTCACATTTTTTTCTTTGGAGAACACCTTTAAGCCCTGCTGAGAATTTTGCCACCTCTAAAAATGTCTGTCTCACACTGAAATACTCTCCCCTTCAGTTGCCTGTCTCTCTTCTCTGCTTCACCCCTGCCCCCTCCACACACACAGAAGATAAATTCACCTGACTGCATTTGTATTTTTTTGGCCCACAACCAAGGACTTGGGGTTGTCAGAACCCGTGAATCGTGGGTCCAGAGGGGATGTGGAGAGAGATCACCCGGTGCCCCATCCGATCCTGCAGGCTGCTCTGTTCTCGCCATTTAGTGCTCAACAAAATCAAACTTTCCAGCTCATGAATGTTTTAAAGGCAATCTGTGAGACCGAGAAGCCCTTTATTTATGCGTTTCAGCGTATTCATTAAAATTTAACCGCAATGTTCTCTCTCACATTTGTCAGCGGAAGGATCTGGAGCGGAGTCCTGACTGAGGTGCCTTGTGGTGGAAGCAGATGCCCTGCTCTACTCCGTGATCACAGCGAAACTCTGTCAGTTCAGAAAACCCCGTTGCTTACACAAAGAATAGAAATGTTCCGTTCTTTTGCAACTTCTTTCTCCCATTTTCCTAAATGCAAGAGCTAAATGCACTTGCGCAATTGACAGCAAGCTAAGCTGCGCCCGCCAAGCAACGCCGCAAAGATCTTGACTGGAACAGAATGTCTAAAAATGCACATTCTGACCTGACATTTCTCCCCTTCAGTTGGACGAGCATTTTTGCGGCATGTCCTTGTTGATTTATGATCTACTTATTCGATTTACACCCTGATTTTTCTCATGACAAATTCAAAGTGGCTTGCCTCATTCTCCTCCTGCTGCTCTCCGTCTTATCCCCTCAGCAGCACCCCTGCGAGGTAGGCTGGGCTGAGAGTCTGGGAGTCGCCCTTCTGGTTCCTTGCCCGAGTGGGTACTGGCACCCGGATCAACTGAGTGCGACACCCATGTGCTTAGCCACTGCACCACCCTGGCTCTCTTGTGGCATTCATGCCCCACCCTTCTTCTGGCAGGGACCCCACGGCGGTCTGCAAGGGACGCAGTGGGGCTGCTCTGCATTTGATCATCGGACCCACGGCTCCATGGGGCAGACTAGGCTGAGCACCCTGATCGGCCCAGCGCTGGCCAGCGAGCTTCATGGCTGAGGGGCTCGAGAACCCGGCTGCCTTGCCAAGCACTCCTCCGACCCTCGAGCTGCCACGCCAGGCCGACTCATGAAAAACCCGCATGAACAAGTTACACAACTCCCTTGTGCATTGTAGCCAACCTCCTCCTCTCTCTCTCTCTCTCTCTCTCTCTCCCCCTGGGCCTCGGCTGTGTCTTCTTCCAGCCATTAGAGGAAGCCAGTGAGCTGCAACAAGGCTGATGGGGAACCCTTTGAAGGCCTGTTCCTGCAACAGACTGGCCCGGAGCGGCTCCCTTTCCGTGTGAAGCCACGTCCACGTGGCTCCCAGCAGCCATTCCAAGCGCAATGAGCAACAGCGAAGCAGCAACGGACAGCCGTGCGCAACCCATTGTGATGAATAATCATAATATGCAGTTGGAATGACTCGCGAGGAGAACGTAGCCCACGAAGCGGCATACGAGCGCACGGACTGAGCTCCCATGACATGACAAGCCAGAGCCTTCCTATCATTGCCTGCCGCATTGTCCGAACCCAGCTGCCCTAGTTTGGCGTGGGGAGTTATGATGCGAAACCAAGATCATGAAGCTCGGCTTGTTCGACCCCTTCTGCTCACAGTCCAAACCCAGCAAAAGCAGCCCGCCATGGCAGGAGGCCCGCTGGACTGACCCGATGCCCACCTGCTTCTGTGAGAAAGTGCCCCGGAAGGAGCCGGGAGCAATCCGCTCGGCTGCACTCCCAGGTGGGGGCACTGCTGCCCCTCTGGCCCCCCTGCTCCTGTCTGACAGACCCTCCCTCCAGCAGGAGCAGGGAAGGGGGCCCAAGGGAGGCAGGCACTGGGAGAAGCACCCCCCTTGCCAGGTCCCTCCTGATGGAGCAGTCGCTCTTCAGACGAGGGGCTTGGTCAGCGGTGCCGTTCCTTTCCTCCATTGCCCCCCTCTGGGGCAGGAGGCGAGCTCATTGTCTTTGCTGTGCTTTAGGTCCCCCTGTCTGCCCAGGAGAGACCGCTTGACACCTGCGCTGAGCACAACTGGTCTGTCAAGGACAAGGCCTCCTTCCTCCTGTGGTATCTCCTGGGAAACCTCCTGGAGGAATGGAGCGGCCAGGAGGCCGGGGACGGCGGGGAGAAACCAGCGAGGCACGTGACACTTCCGTGCGGCCACTGTGGAACTGCCCCGGGCTGGCTGGGTGGATGTGCGCACCGGCCCACTGCACATCAGGCCACTCCACGCCGTGTCATCCAGGCCACCCATGATCCGCATTCGCCGCTTTCCCCCTTTTGCGCGTGGGTGGCCAGGAGGGCCAAGGATGCCGAGTGATGCACCGGTGGGGCAAGGCTTTGCCGCTTACTCTTGAGCATCAGTCCTGAGCAGCAAGGGCAGGAGCTGGGGAGCCGTCCTCTGCGCTCTGCCTTCCACGCACGGAAGGAGAGCCCTCGATGCACATACGGCAGAGGGAGGACTGGTCCCTGACCTGGAGCTGCGAGGCGCGAGAGAGGACACACATCAGCTTATTGGAGTGCTCCGCCTGCTAACAGTCAGGCCAGTCTTGCCGAAGACATTGGCTGCACCCTGCCCGTGTGAGAGCCAGTGTGGTGTAGTGGTTAGAGCGTGGGACTGGGACTCAGAGGATCCGGGTTCGAGTCCCCGCTCAGCCATGGAGCCCACTGGGTGACTTTGGGCCAGTCACAGACTCTCAGCCCAGCCTGCCTCACAGGGTGGTTGTTGTGGGGAGAAGATGGAGGAGGAGAATGAGGTAAGCTGCCTGAGCCCTTTGTAGGAAAAAGGCAGGATGTAAATTGAAAAAAATAAAAATAAAGGAGGGCTCACTCCCAGGATTGTGCCATCCGGGCAGGTGCTCTCCGGGCATCCAGGTTCACAGTGGCCCTGGCGAGTTTGGGCCAGCCTCAGGAATGCCCGTCCCACCTGTATTTTCTCCTTCCACTCCTGCACCCGTCAAGTCTCCATTTCTAGGATGCAGCTGGGCTGGGCAATCCCACACAGGTGAGTCACCATTTTATTCTCCTCACTTGCCTAGGCTGTTCAGAGACACCAAGGTCCTGCACAAGCGGCCCTGTATTCTAATATAAATCTAATCTCTGCATTTGGAAAGTGCACACTTTAAACATTTGGCTTAAGATTGTCTGTTGCAACAGACAATCATGTTTCCTGCTCTCTAATATCCACAGTGACATCTGCCATCAGGTGACTGGCATATTTCAGAATATGTTGGTCCTTCTGGATAATTGTTGCGTGTCTGAAGCCAATGAATAATACATTTGTGCTAGTGCTTTTTTCTTAATTGAGAGGTCACCAACCCAAGATCTGATTGCACCGTTTCTCAGGCAGCTTCCCCTCTAGCCCATCTTTTATCTTAGGTAAATTTCATGGAGAGACACAGAGCTTAGCCTTGAATCTGCCATGTGTTCATGTCAGGCCTAGTTAGAAACCCTAAAGCTGGAACCTCAGGGCCCTGCATTTGTTGCTGACTTTCCCCCTGTCCCATATGTGCAAGAGAGACTTCTCAGCATGTGCAAAGTGTCCCTTTGGAACCAATAAAGGCTTTTTCTATACTTCCTGTGAAGAAAAACCTTCTTCTCCTCTGGGTAGGAAGGCCGAGCTTGGTTGTTGCTGTTGGTACTAAACCGACTAAGCCATAGGTCCCAGATGGTGACCACGCGATGCAGGAAGATTCAGGCCACAAGTCTGAAATGTTTAGAGATGGAGGCAAGTTCTCTGGGTGAACTGGCTGGTGAAATTTGATCTTACCATGAAGCAACGGGGCATGGTGAGTATCAAGGGTTTATTTTTCTAAGAGACGCCACTCTCTACTTATCTTGCTCTTTGTGTCCTTCTCAAAAGTCCGCGAACCACCTCAGAGGTGCCTTTCTGCTGTTCCTGACGGCTGCAGGCGTGCCTGAGGGCTGGTGCGGCTACGCCTTTGGACTCTCCTCCCCGCTGGGTCCCAGCCCTGCCAGATGCTCTGGGCACCTGCTCCGGCCAAGCTTGCCAGGAAAGGTGAAGGCGGGACTTTTCTGCCACCTTTGCCAGACTCACCAGTCTTCTCCTGTGGCAACTGCACCCGTGGCCGCTGAGCCAGGCTGGTGGAAGAGCAGAGAGCAGATCTGGGGAAGACGCCTGGACCGGTCTTCCCTCCCCTCCACCCCATGTGGCTGCTCCACCCAGCGCATCCCATGTTGTCAGGAGGCAGCAAACTCGTCTGGCAGGTTTTTGCCTTCTGTTTTCTCCTTCCCTCTGGAGGCACCACAGCTGCAGACCGAGCTCTGGAGGAGGCAGGCGGCCAGGAGGAGAGGCGATGCCTCCTTTTCTTCCGGTCCTCCGCTTTACAAGCCAGGTGTGGGCACACTGAGACAGAGCCAGGTTCAGGAGAAGGAGCTTTCTCTTTGCCGGCCCAAGGAAGGAGGAACGTGTCCCCAGGAGGCCTGGCACGATGCTGCAGTTGTAGCTCTCGGACAGCCCGTCTGATCGCCAGGACCTCTGCGGCAGAGGCCGTCGCTGCGTGCACTTGGGCCTGGAGCCTGGCCAAGCCTGAGATGGGTCGCCGCCTGTCCTTCGTACTGGCGCTGGCTGCAGTTCTCCAGGATCCCGTCCTCTCGCAGCAGTGCCCCCTGGGGAGCCCTTCGCAGACCCTGCAGTTTGCTGACGGGGGTGCCGAGCAACGGGTTCTGGCCCTTCGCCGGCTCCCTGGATACCTGGATCCCCTCTACGGCCTCGTCCAGAGTTTCCTCGATGTGGTGCAGCCAAACCCCTTTCCTACAGGTGAGCCTCCTCCCGCACCTTTGTAAGCCGGGCTCGTTTGCCAATGGGCCAAAAACCCAAACCAGCCAGTCCAGCGACTGAGCCTGAACCGGGGCCTTCAGCAGGGGCTGCAAGGCAGGCAACCGCCACTGGAGGTGCTGCGCGGAGCACCTGCTCCTGAGGAGGCCTGCTGATCGCGCTAGCTGGAAAGCCAAAGGAAGAAGAGTCGGTAAAATGAAAGGGAGAGGAAGAGATTGGAAGGCCTTCCGAAGACCCTGGGAGCTGCAGTGTGTGCAACACCATACGGAGCCACACTTAGGACCTTGCCGACTCCTCTTCCTCTGCTGCTAGGAGGTGAAAAGGTGCCACCTTGCCCCCGAGTCAGGGCAGAGCCCTAGATATGGGCTGAGGATCCCCGGGGCCTGGTCCAGGTCTTCTCAGGGCCCGCTGCTCCTCATCCCCATCGCCATCCAGTCCAGCCGGCAGGCTCAGTCCACTCCGTACCCGAGTGGCAGCACGCCAGCATTCCTGCCCAGTTCCCAGCTCCGTGGGCTGCGCAAGAGACCTTCCCAGGATGTGCATTTGGGCCCCCTAAGATCCCACCCACTCCCCTGCCCCAGATGCCGGCTGGGAAGCTCTTCTCCCGCCCCCAGACAAGCTAAATCCAGAGTTCAGCCTGTGCAGTTGCTTTTCAGTCCTGCCCCCACCCACTCCCAAAGTACCAAGCGCTGATCTTCGCTCACTTTACCCCGTGCGTTTCTTGAGTTTGCCAAGCACATTGCTTGGCCAGCCTTGTTGTGGATTCAAGAGCAACAGTCACATTCAATTAGATAAATACTGTTGCTGTTTAACAGTTGTGCTTTTAAATTCATGCATAAGCCATCTGAAATAGTAGGACAGGTGCGTTGTAATAAATATTTGAGGGTTATGCCTTTTAAGCTACTAATATTTACATTTTGAAAGTAAAATACTATGCTCCGAGAGATTTTGTTGTATAACTCCAGATTGGGGAGATACACAGAAGGCTTCAGCAACTTCTGTGATATATAAATCCAGAGCAGAGCTAGTCATAAAAACCCTACAACTCTCTTCAGGCTGTTTTTCAGCCTTAACTTCCACCTTGACAAAATTTTGTTGAAAGCTGCGCCCACCTGGTAAATCATTCAGTTTTATTTTTCGCTGGGTGACCTTGGGCCAGTCACTTACTTTCAGCCCAGCCTGCCTCACAGGGTTGTTGTTGCAAGGACAAAACGGAACCGTGGGAATTGCCACGGGGTCCTCACAAGAGAAAACAGGCAGGATAGCAGTGCGATGTTAGAATAATAAAATAATAAATGCACTCAGTGTAAGACTTCTAGCCTGCTAGAAAAATATATACAATAAATATTGAAAAGTAAAATACAGGACCAGAGCAAAGCAACCGCAAACAACAGGCAGCATAAATTGGTCAAATGAAAGCAGCCCAGCATGGTGCTCCCTCAACGACTTCCTGGCTGAGTTTGCCCCAAGTCCTCCAAAGCAAGTCCTAAAAGCACCCATTTTGCTTCCCGCAGTTTTGGGATGCAAAACTTCGGAATGTATTCCTGGAAAAGGGGTCCCAGCTGCAGCAACCCTTGTTGGGGGCCAAGCTGTGGGACATCCTCACAAGTAAACATGCCTGAAATTGCGTGTCAGATTATTCTCCTCTCTGTTACTGGCTGTCAGGATTTGAAACACGCCAAGCACACCTGAGGATGCCGGCCAAGCGGGGTATCTCAGCTGACATTTGGCAAGTACTGCGTCCCTTAAAAACTGTTTTGAGCTCCAAATCAAGGGGCAGTGAACACAGGCACGTCCGCCAATCTGCCTGTCAGTCTGTAGGGGCAGCCCACTTTTCCCCATGTAACGAGCCTCGTGGGAACAGCCTGCCCTCACCAGGGGTGCTTGCCTGCCTCCCCCATTTTGAGCATGGATATGGTGCGTGTAACAGCAGCCAGGTGTGGAAAGCTTGCACACGTGTGCACACACACAACCCCACCAGCCCTCTGGCTGCCTCTTCCACCAAGGAGTGGCCCTGTGCCGGTTGGACCCACCAGGGTGTTTGCTCTTTTCTCTTTTTTAATGTGGGGCTTGGGACCAGTTTAGAAGCACAGAATCTGCCCGTCCTTACCTTCTGCACATCGTTAGGAAGCCCTGTTAGTCTTGTGACTTGCTTCTTTGGCAACTGGTCCTAAGCAAGACTCACACACAGGCACTGGCAAGGCAGGTGTCTTCCCCCGGCCAGCTGGAAAGGAGGAAAGCTGGAGAGTGCCAGCCGCGAGAGTGTGTTTGCACTGAGATGGGCGGCGCTCGAGCTGCCCGCTGGTCTGTTTGCGATGAATTGGAGCGGCTCCTATTTTGGGAGGGCTGCGAACAGGACAAGTGCCCGTTCCCTATATTTTAGGAGTCGGTCTCACTGAGCTCGAAGGGACACCGTTCGTCACGGCACGGATTTGTATGCCCCTTTCCGAAAAGAGGGCAGAGCTGCTCAAATGATACTAACGCACGAAAACGGTCCTGTGGTCCCTTCGGAAGCCTCTCTTCTGAGGGTCTGCAGTGCACGAGTGGGAGGCGAGGAGGAGGCGAGGACCGCCCAGGGCTCCACACGCCAGTGCCTGGGCTTCCCCTGGGGACGTGCCCCAGCTGCGCTCGCAGAGAAGGACTTTGGCCGGGAGGCTGGCGTCCCGCTCAGCCAAAGGGGCAGGACGACTGCGCCCAAGCGCTGACAGCGAGCGTGTCCTGGAGCCTCCCGGGACCACAGCAGGGATACCCCTGACGGGCAGCGCTGGAGGAGCCACGCAAGGCCGGTCTCCCGCCCCGGACTGTGAGGCCGGAGTGTCGCTGCAGAAGTGGCCTTTGCCATGACACCCATTTGTCATGATTTCTACATTTTCCATGGATGTGGCCTCAAGCATTCAGCGACCAGAGGAGTGATCCAAAAATGTACTCATGCTTAATTTTTTAGTTTAGGCATTGTGTTAAAAGACTCTGTTTTGAGGACATCCGCAAAATTGGTGCTGGACCGGGGTGTTACCCTTAGGAAGAAAAGATTGCCCTGGGGACAAAGGGGTGTGTGGATGGGTATATTTGCTGCCCTTCGGAAGTGCGTTTGCATTTGCAGGTTCTGTAAGAAATTTGCCTTCTTCCACAGAGCTTTTGCGGGATGCCTTGAATGAGCCGCCAGCTGCCAGTCCCTCACAGGTGAGAAGAGCTGCAGGGAAAGGCCTTCCAGGGAGGGCTCATCCCGTTTGCGAACCCAAAATCTGTGTGGGAGATCACAGGATATTCTGATGTATTTTCCCACTCAAGGGCATCGTTTGCATTAGAAAGCTGTTTGGGGCATGATTGAAACATAGAAACAGAGTGAGTTAGAAGGGACCTCCTGGGCCATCTAGTCTGACCCCTGGCTCCAGCCGGCTCCGCTCACAACATGCCCGCTATGTGCATGTCCAGCCTGTCCTTGAACACCCTCACCGATGGGGCCTCAACCACCTCCCGTGGAAGCCCATTCCACACCCTTGGGGTTCCAACCATCAGGAAATGCTTCCTGGCATCTAAATTGAACCTTGGTTCCCTGAGCTTTGCTCCTTTGGAGCGCGTCCTGCCTTCTTCCGCAGGGGAGAACAGGTCCCTACCCACCTCCGTGTGACACCCCCTCACATCCCTGTATGTCACCATCAGATCCCCTCTGAGTCTCCTCTTCTGCAGGCTGAAGAGACCCAGTCCCCTCAGTCTCGCCTCATGCGGCTTCCCCTGCAAACCGGCCACCGACCTTGTGGCCCTGCGCTGCACTGACTCCAACCTGGCTATATCCTTCCTGTAATGAGGGGCCCAAAACTGAACACAATACTCCAGTTGCGGGCGCACAAGAGTCGCATAGAGTGGTAGTAATACCTCTCTCGATCTAGAAGCCACACTTCTGGCTATGCAACCAAGAGTGGCGTTGGCCCTCTTGACCACCGCATCACACGGCTGACTCATGTTCAGCCTGCAGTCGACCAGCACCCCGAGGTCCCTTTCACAAGTGCTGCTCTCCAGCCACTTGTCCCCTGACCTGTACTTGTGACACCCATTCCTATGCCTCAAGGGCAAGACCTTGCACTTATCCACACTGAACGCCATCCTGTTGTCTCCTGCCCACTTCCATAGTCTGTCCAGGTCCTTTTGGATCTGGAGTACCTGCTCCTCGGTTGTGGCCACTGCTCCAGTTTTAGTATCGTCTGCGAATTTGATCAGCAGACTGTTCACCCCTTCTTCCATGTCACTGATGAAAAGATTAAATGGGATCGGCCCCAGGACAGAGCCCTGGGGGACCCCGCTTGTCACTGGCCACCATCCCGATGATTCCCCGCTAATGGTTACCTTCTGCTTTCGGTCAGTCAACCATGCCCTAATGCACCGGACAGTGCTTTGGTGTATCCCAAAACTCCTCGGTTTCTCCACCAGGATATCATGGGGCACTTTGTCAAAAGCCTTGCTGCAATCCAGGTAAACCACATCCACTGCATCCCCTCCATCCAGCCATCTCGAAACCTTGTCATAGAATTCCACAAGGTTTGTCTGGCAGGGCCTGTTTTTGCTGAAACTGTGTTGTGTGGCCGCCAGCTCCCCTTCCCTGTCTAGCATCACTAGATCTCTCCCTATTATGAGCTTTTCCATTGCTTTTCCTACAATGGACGTAAGGCTAACCAGTCTGTAATTCCCCATGTTCCTTCTACTACCCTTTTTGAAAATTGGGACCACTGATGCCACCCTCCAGTCCTCTGGAACCTCACCCGTTCTCCACGAGGTCTCAAAAATGGAGGCCAGCGGGCGTGAGAGGACCCCTGCCAACTCTCTAAGTACTCTCGGGTGTAACCCGTCAGGGCCTGGCGCCTTTGTAATGTCCAGTGCCCTGAGGAGCCCCTCGACTTCAAGGGGGGGTGACTCTAATCTGTGCCCCTAAGTCCCCGGCCTCATCTAATCTCCCTTGCAGATCTCCCCCATCCTGCTTTGGGGAGAACACAGAGGCCAAATAGGCATTTAGTGGTGGGCAGTGGAAGTGGGCACCGGTAAGCAGAATGCGGAAATGATCTAGAGGGCTCGGCTGCCTTTGGTAATGATTTGGCATTAGTGGAGGATATGGAGCGAGTGAAAACTCAGCCTGGAATCGGATCCCCCCTTTGCATCACAACTCAGTTGAGCTCTTTCTAGGTCAGCTCGAGAAAGTTTATGCCTTGCACGCTTGGCTCCCTGTTTGCGAAGGGTCCTTGCAAAGGATCCGGATAGTTCCGTTCCCCTGCAGCCGTTTTCCTGCGGGCCATTTACTCGTGAGCGAGGCTCTTTGCTGGGGGTGGTGCAGAAACGTGCTCAAGGCTTCCGGGTGCGAGCGAAGGGAGGGAAGAGTCAGCCCACCTGCCGTTTCCTCTTCTGTGCTCTCCAGGTCCTCCAGTACCAGGCGGGGTACATCGCCTGTGCCGCCATTGCCGTCGTGTACTTCGTGGCGGTGCCCCTGGCTGGCTTGAGCATCTGCTGCTGCCGGAGACGCCGGCGCTGTGGCGGACGGCTCAAGGCCTACCGCCGTTCCCTGCTCTGCCGGTGCCACGTCCTCATGGCCTGCCTGTTCCTGACCACACTTGTCATCCTGTGAGTGAGGGGTGGCAGCGGGACAGTTGGATGGAGGGAGGGATAAAAGAGGAAAAGCATCATCCGTGCGGGAGATGGAAAAGCCATCTACTTCTTCCGTCTACCTCTTGCCCCATCCTTTGCTGTCAGTATTCTCTTCTCCAAATCTGGGTGGCCTGGTTTGCAAATATTTTTGAGCTTCTAATCATTTGAGAAAGCAGTGCTTCTCCGCAGAAGCCGAGGGAAAACATGGGCTTCCGTGTGCAGTCGCATTCTGAGTTCAGTTGGAGACGACCGATACCAGTCTCGTAACCCCCACTCCTTCCTCGCGTCTGTTATTTCACTAATGATTCTCCTGCCTCCTAAATCTTTGTCAGTCCTGATTTGGCGTGGCCACGTTCTCCCAGCCCTGCGAATTATTCAGCCTCCCTACAGGGAAAGATTGCAGGCCAATCCCTGTGGCTGCCGGGCCACATTTCTTGGGGTGCTGTTTGCTTTTGGGGGATTATGCTCTCACCTAATGTGGGTTGGACAAGAGCCAAAGTGGAACCATCTTTCTGCTGGTTATAGTTAGCTTTTAAAGGAGAAGCGTGTGGGTGAAATATGTGGGGCGCAGAAGAGTCAAGAGGGGAGAACAGGAAGAGCCAAAGAGGCGAGGATTGCAAGGCCAAAAGTGGTTGGGGTTGCGGGGGATTCCCAGGGCTGGAAACACTGCAGGCAGACCTCTGAGGAGACACACGGTCCTGGGAGCACAGGAGTGATGATGAATCCTGGCGTGGAGGGCAGGTCGGGGTCCTCAGGCTTTTCAGGAGGGGGCCAGTCGGAGGGTGCTGGCGGTGGGCACGGTCGGTGGGGGGTGCGGGCCGGTGCAGGGGCGGGGGGGCACACGTGTGAATGCATTACCACAGATCTTGGTGTGGGGCTCCTACAGGGAGTCCCTTCCCACTTCCAGGTGCCTGGCAGGCAAATGCAGAGAAAGTACGTGGAGGCTTGTGCAACCATGCCTAAATCGGGATGAAGCGGTCATTTTTGCCCTCTTTTCCTGCAGGGGGGGTGCCATCTTTGCTTTCGCCGCCAATCAGAAGGTAAAAGAAGCGGTGGAGCCGGGCACGCGAGACGCGCTGAACACCCTGCAGGCTTTGAGGCACCACCTGAGTGGGGTCCGCCGGGTGAGTTGACGGCACTTCTCTTTTTCTCTTGCCAGCCTTCCCTGCTGTGAAAACAGCAAAGTCAACACTGCAGGGGCATCGTTTATTTTGCAGCCAAATCATTCCAAAGCCGATGGCTATTGGCATGGAACTACGGCCATGGAAATGGGCCGGTGCAGCATTGTACAGCCCAAATACTCACACATTGCTTCAAAAGATTCCTGTTCTCATTTATAAGATTTATACCCCGCTTTTTCTTAAATGAACTCAAAGTGGCTTACATCACTCGCCTCCTCCTGCTCTCAATCTGATCCTCACAACAGCAGCCCTGTGAGGTCGGTTGGGCTGAGAGTCCATGACTGAGGGAAGAGGGGATGGGCAGAGCAGAGAAGGCAGGAAGGCCGAGTCCGAAGTTCAAATTAGCTCTGGGGATGCTGGGAGTTGAAGTCCAACACATCTGGAGGCACGATGGCGGGGAAGATTATTCCAGTACCATTCCCATCATGGGAACGGAACCACGGCACCCTGTGTGGGCGGCCCGGACTTGCCCCCATCGCCCCGTCCGCCGCAGCAGCACCTCCAGCGATCTGCGCGTGGGCCAAAAGGTCACAACTGCTGGGACCAGAAGGGCGAGCGGCAGGCGCGGCACTTTTGCAGGTGTGCTTGCTGGCTTTCTGCAATCGGCCAGGTCCTGGCCAATCAGAGAGCGAGGGATGGAGCTGGTGCACTGCATGCCGAAGGGCTCTGTCTTGGTCTGGTCACCCCAGGGGAGTGCTGCCCCGCTGCCCCTGCGAGCGGCATCAGCCCTGGCCGCCAGCGCGCAGCCGAGGGCACCTGCAGGGAGCCCGGCTACGGAGATGGGCCAAGGCAGTGGCCTCTGCTGCCGCCGGGCTCTCCCTTGTGCCCCAGGCAGCCCTTCATACGTCTCAGCCCCGGCAGCCTTCTCCGATCCGTGGACCTTCAGATGGGCTGCACTGCAACACCCATCAGCCCCAGCCAACACAACTGGGGCCTTGCTGTGGGCCTGCTTCCTCGGGAAGGATTTCCCTCTTTCAAGTCTCAGTTGAGATCTTGGAGGGAGGCTGCTCTGCACGCCCGGCTGTTCTCTGCGGGAGCCCCATGTACTGCTCCAGGGGCTTTCCAGCACCATGGAGCTTTGGGAACCAGGGAGCATGTCTGCTGCAGGCACAGATGTGGAAGAATCTCCCCCCTGCCCCCCCCCCCCCTCTCTGCTCCTGGCAGCGGTGCTGCAGGGAGAGGGCGGAAGGTCCAGCGGCCTCTGCAGAGCCGGCATGTCCTTGCTGGCCACCCGCCTGCCCCGCAGCTGCTGCAGCAGGGCCCATCAGAGCCTCGCGGGCTAATGCGAGCCGGCAGGCCGCAGTCCTCGGAGGCATGAATCCAGGACACCCTGTGAGAACCACGGGCTGCAGTTGTCTGCAGCGCGTGTGCCCCTGCAAGGTCAGTGCAGGGGAACGGCTGAGAGACAGATCAGTGGGGCAGGGGCAGGCCCCCGAGAGAGCAACAGGCCGCTGTTCTGTTCGGTGGAACAAGCTGAGCTTCACAAGAAGCGGGGGGGGGGGGGGGGGAGGGTCGAGAGGAGGGGCTTAAGTCATTTAAATTTCTTTCTGTGCAGGGTATTAAAGCTTAATGCGTGTTTGTTTCCTGGCTTTATTGAGGGTTTTAAAGGGTTACTCCCTTCCCTGTGTGATTGGGAGAAGGCAAACAAGAAATCTGATAAACAAATACCCTGAGGACCCCCTCCCCTCACCATGCAAATTTATGTGCTTGTGCACTAAGGATCTGCCCTTTCGCGGGGCCTCGCGTGAGTCTGGCTCCCGGCCAGAGCCGGGAAGAGACTTGGTGAAGCTGCAGGATCTGGATATGAAGCCCAAAGGAGTTCATGCGGGGTTGTGGGGGGGGGGGGGCATTTGCAGGAGGTTATTTTTGGCCAGCAGCTGACGGAATCAGGTTGTCTGTGCAGCATTTTGTTGCCATGGTTGTTCAGTGCAAAGCTCAGGATGCCTCATGAATGCGCCCTGACGGCAAGGAAGGACCGCGGATGGCTGCTGGCCCCTGGCCGCTCAGCACACTCCTCGCCCTGGCTGGATGCCAGCACGGCCGAGCCGGGCCGAGCCTCGCGGCTGGCTGAGGGTCGCTTGCAGGGAAGCGCTTCCCCGGTTCCACCCTCACGCCTCCGTCTAGAGCGAAACCCCGCGTAGCACGGCACTGCCGGGGTCCCTGTCCCTCGCGCAATTCCTTCGTGCGGCCACCTTCTGCATCCGGTTCTGGTCACCTTAACAGAATCAGGACAACACTGAACTGGGAAACGTGCAGAAAAGGGCAACGAAAATGGTCAGGGGGCTCAACGGCTCCCTTGGCAGAGCAGCTGCAACAAGGACTGTTGGGCTTAGGGAAAAGGCAAGGAAGGGGGGACAGGCAGAGGTGTGTGCGGTGGAGAGTGGAGGGAGACCTGCTTGCGTGTGGAAGTGAAAGCTTTTCACTCACAGCAGAGCAGTGCCCATCATTCTGTTGGTGTGCGACGTTAGCATGGCCCCAGGAGTGAGTGCCGTTGCCAGACTGTCGATCTCATGGCAGTAATGGCTGCCTAATTTATTTATTTATTAAAACATGTTTATGCCGCCCCATTCGCTGAAGCCTTGGGGCGGCTAAATTAGATCCACATAAATAAAAATTAAAATATATACATTAGAATATTAAAAAATGCAGGGATTATGGGGAATGTCATTCCTGCTCACAACCCCAAACCCAAAAAGCAAGCAGGAGTGTAAGCACTGGAGAATTTTTGCCATCTCCAGCACTTGTATTTGGTTTCAAAAATGCACACTTGCATACGTCTGAAAATACACCCCCCAAATGTACATACTTTCGCCTTTAAGTGCGCTTGCAAAAGCATGCATTGTTCGTGCTCCAACATGCACGAAGAAAAAGTAGTGCTCACGCTGGAAAGCGAGAACAAGGCAGAACAAGCCTTGAGGTGGAAAACAGGGAACCTGGGCGAGCGCAGACATCGCTGGCTCCCGATCCCGGTGGTGCCTGACTGGCTGCACAGGGGAAGCCTCTTCGCTCCTACTGGTCGGTTTGCTTCGCAGGGAGGCAAAAGAGGCTGTTGATTCAGAGATGAGGTCTGAGATGTCGGAACTTGTCCTACAGGATGTCGAGTTGAGGAACAGGCTGTTCTTCCAGTCCTTTAAAAGTGACCCTGCTCTCTCTCTCTCCCCCCCTCTCCCCCCTCTCCCCCCAATAGGGTGTTCAGCAAACCGTGCAACAGTTTGCCGTTCCCAAGGAGCAAGTCCTCAGTGACCTGAACAGTGAGTCCCCCGTCTCTACTGTTTCACACCTTGCATTTTCCAGTGTATGTCACAGGATAAGTCAGGAATGGGCAACCTTTTTGACCCTGTGGGCCACAAGTGGTGTTGCCAGGCAGTGGACTGGGGGCGCGCCCTCCCCCAGGGGATGGAAACCCCATGGGAGGAGGGGGCAAAAGGCTCTTTCTGTAGCCCCAGCAACCCCTGCCTTCCCCATTGCCATTAATGGGGAAGCATCAGTCTTAGCTCCTTTGGGGTTTCTGGGGGAAGGGGCCTTGGGAAGCGAAAGTGTCTTCCTTCCCCATTCTCCCCCTGCCCCCATGGTATCCTTGGGAGCGCTGCTTTTCCCTACAGCCCAGTAGAAAAGTGGATTTTCTCCTGTGCCCCTCTTTTAAGAGTGCGTGAAAAATGCAATGTGCGAATGCAACCAATTGGTGTTAGCAAAGGTGGATGCAGGTGCTCTTGTCCGGAAATCAGGACTGGGTGCAATGCTCTCTCGAGGGAAGGATTTGTGCGGACTCTAATTGGTGCTAACAGCTCACATAACAACTTTGGAAGGCAACATTTTCATCTGGACCACATCAGAAAGGGTTTAGTTTCTGAATGCATGTGTTATTCAAAGCATTTTTATCCAGCTCTTCTTCCAGAAGGGCTACTGCGGTTGCTTATTTATATATAAGCAAGGTACAGAAAAATGGAGAGCCCCTGTGCGGTCAGCCCATGCAGCTGAATGGGGGTAGATTGAGGACAGATCAAAGGAAGGGCTTCTTCACGCAGCGGGTAGTTGAAGTGTGGGATTGGCTGCCAGGGGAAGTGGTGCTGGCTGCCATCTGGACAGCTTGCAAAGGGGGTCCATGAGGGAGGAGGCTGCCCCCTGCTGATTTCTGGGGCACATTCCCCTGCACATTTTGCCACGCCTGTGTCCTGGCACACGTGTCTGTACATGCACGGTTCCTGTGCAAGCACGCAAATCATTTTGTAATGTATCGTTGCAGTTTGTAATCTTTGGGAACTGCCCGGAGGGCTTTGGCTATTGGGCGGCACAGAGACGTAACAAATGCCCGCGTGCATGAAATGGATAATGCAAACTATTTAGGTTTGGGAGCAGGGCAGTTCGTTTAGAGAGCCTGACTGCGGGAGTGCCAGCAGGGCTCGCAAAGATCCAGCCCACGACTTCAACCTTGAGGACTAGAACCATGCCTTTAAACAGGTACTCTGAGGTTCCTGCAGTGCTGAGGAGCTGAAGTCTGAATCAGAGCTGCTTCTAGCAAGAGGCTTCTTTCTGGCTCGGGCGAGAGAGGCCAGTTGCTGCCAGGATCCCAGAGGCAGGCTATTTTCGGTGATTTCCTGTGTTGCAGATGTCGGCCGGAGCATTGGGACCATCATCCACTTTGTACTGAAGGGGTCCGTGTACTCCGCCTTGGCTGCTCTTAAGGGAAGAGTGCAAGGTTTGCCCGCCCTCTGCTGTTATGCTCTTACGCGATAGTGGTTAGATTTGTTGAAGCCGTAGCGCTTGCATGCAGTCAGGGTCTTAAAACAGAATGCAGACTTAATTAGATTAGGCTTCATTAAGTGTTCTTTAATTCCTTTTTGCTGAGCATTTCAAAATTAAACCCAAAATCTAAACTAAACAGGGGGAAATAAAATACAAATATTATTGTAAACCATCTGTGAAAATAATAGATGATACAGAAAAGATAAATAATTAAAATAATAATTATATTATATTATATTATATTAAACCTTTTAATGAAGCACTGCAGCATTCTAACATTGATCTTCCTTCAGCCTTAAGCAAAATGCACTGGTTCCACAGGAGGCAGAAAAACAAAAATTAAGAGAAATATATAACCTTTTTCTATTAGCCGTGCAGGAGAATTCTAAGAACCCCGGGAAAGTGTCATTGAGGGAAGGGCAAAAACTTGCCACATGAAACCCCTATTCCACTTGTGGAATGACGTGGAGTAGAAGGGTAGGTGCCACAGGGAAACGCTACAGAGATGAAACTCCTACTCCTCTCCATGGTTAACCCCCGCAATTTGGGGTGCCGATCGGACACTTGCCGGCTCCCATTATTTCCGTAGAGAAATCACAGCTCCCCTGCTTTGAACACCGTGTCCCCGAGGACCGCATCCACGCAGCCAGAACGGGTGGAGGGAGACTCTCCCGGGGTGGGGCGGCCCGGCGGCGTCGCAGGGAGAGCGAGCGCTGTTGCCTCTTTAAGACCTGCAGGACACGAAGCACCATTTGCAGACGATCGGCAGGACTGTGCAGACGCTGATGCAGCGCCAGGCGGAGCTGGAGGCAGCCCTTCGAGCCCGGAAGCCGAGCATCACGGCCCTTCTGGGGGACCCCCGGTGCACCTACTGCGCCAGCGCCGCGAGCAGAGCACAGGGCCTGGAGCCGGAAGCCAACTTCCGGAAAGTGAGCTCCTCTAGGACATGGGTCCTCAAACTGCGGCCCGTGGGCCGGATCCAGCCCACCATGCCCATTTGGAACCGCCGCGCCCGCACCCACGCGCACGCCCACCGCCACCCACCTCGCCTCGCACATGGGGAGGCAGCGGTTTGCTCTCTCAGAGAAAGCGATCTCCAAGCGAGCGAGCCGCTGCCTTGTGCGCCCGCCTCACACGTGTGGCCGCCCCCGCCTCCCCTCGCCGCTCCCCCTCCACGCGCACTGCGGGCACCGCCTTTCCGGCACCGGCACCTTCAGCTGGCCCCCGGTGGAAAAGCGTGAGGATCCACTCTAGAAGGTTGCTGCAGCTCAGCACTTCCTTCGGAGGGCCGCCGCTGCCCATTCCGAACCAGCAGCCAAGCAGGCAGGGCAGGGCCGGGTCTGGAAGTGTGCAGGAGTCCTGTTGGCATCCCCGGGCTGGGCCCCCGGTCGGAGGCAACTCCGAATTCAGCAGGCAGCGTGGAGGCCTGCGTGCTCCGTCACAGAATCCTCTTGCGCGTCGCTTCTCTGTGCAGACGCCTTGAGACCTCAGTGCAGGCTGCATTTCTTTCCAGCCTCGATCCACACGGTGCCGGGCACTCGTGCGCCATGTCCGCGTTCTAGAATTGCCCGCTGGGTGTTGGTCTTACGGCAGGCGATTCCACCGCAGGAGGAACCCTGGCAGGGCTCGCCGGGAGACCTGCTGGAGATGGCCAAGGGGCCGGAGCAGGCGCTGCTGGCCGGGGCGGGAGGGGAGGGGAGCGCATCGCGAGGAGGCCGCTGCTTTGGAAAGGCTTTGGACTGCAGGGCAGCCCCGCTACCCTGCAGGTCCAGGCATCTGTCTCTGCTTTCCTTCCCCAGGTTCCTTCCGTTGAAGGGGTCTGGAAGACCCTGCAGGGGCTCCCCAGGGCGGACTTCGCAGACATGATTTACCAGGCAAGTAATGAAGGGGGCCCGGAGGGCGGAGAGACCACCCAGCCCGGCCTGGGGATGTCAACAGGACTCCTTTGCACTTCCAGGCCAATCGCAGTTTCAATTCTGTCCCGGAACTGACCGTGGTGAAGATGGCGGAGGTCGTCCGAGGTGAGTCAGGCCCTTCCAGGCTCGCGGTCTCGTGCCGGGTGGCAGAGGGCGGCTGCAACGGGGCTCAGCCGGAATGAAGGCCGGTCCCCAGGCCTGGTCTTCACGCCCGTGTCCAGACCAGGAGCTGCAGTCCGTGTTGGGGTTATGTACTGCGTGACCTCACAGCGGGGCCCCGCCGGTACCTCCCGTGCAACGATTGCCTTCCAGCCCTCAAGGAGGAAGTCGAGAATGCTGCACAGAAGGTCCAGTCCATCGCAGACAGCTTCCCGGTCACAGATCACACCCGGCCCCTGGCGGAGGCTCTGGCGAAAGCAGAGAACGGCAGCCGGCCTTACCTGAAAGAGGTGGCACATTATGAGCGATGCAGGTAAGCAGAGCCCCTGGCTGGAATGCGAAGCCCCCCGTTGCACCCCTGACATTTCTAGTTCAAAAAGCACCAGGGGGCAGGTGGTTTGGAAAGACAGGAATTAGCATGCACAGGGCATGAAGTTCCTTGGAGCATTCAGAGTGCTTCACATTTCTTTGCTTTTAACAGGGCTGTGCTGCCTTCGCCCAATTCATGGCATTCAGCGCTTACATAGACTGCAGAGACCGTCAGTGCAAACACACAAAAATGTGATCAATCACATGCACAAACACACAATATTTTTCAAACAGCCCAGAAGACACGTTAGTCAGATTACGCATAGGAGAATCGCTTGGCCAACTCCATCCAGGGAGTTCTTGAAAGGCGGGATTCCCGCCGATGCCTGACACCTCCCTTTCACTAGTGGCGTGCGCGACACTCAGGCCGCGAGCGCCTTTGGCGGCCTGCACGGTCCGCTGTGTGTCAAAGCGTGGCACATGCTTGCCCGGGAGGGTGCTGGCAGCCTCTTGCTCACCAGGTGTGCTGTTTCTTGCCGAGCTGGTAGTGACTCAGGGTGCTGCACACTAGACTTCCGCTGCCCTCATTCCCTGAATCCTGAACTTCAGCCAGCCTTCTCAAGGACCCAGGCCTGGCTGAACTTTTCTCTCCTGCCTCGGGCCTTCCCCAGGTGGATCGCGGCTGTCATCGCGTGCACCGTCCTTCTCTTGATCGTCTGCTGCAACCTGCTGGGGCTTGTCTGTGGCGCCTACGGGCTGGCGGTGCGTGACGATCCCAGCGACTACGACGGCCGGGGAGAAGCCGGGGCCAAACTGCTCATAACGTAAGCCCTCCTAGCACCCGCCCGGCCGGCAGGACACCGGCAGGCACGGTGCTGTTGCTGATGCTTGGGGTGTGGCCCCCGTAAAGCTCCGTGGGCACCGCTGCAACCCGGGCCCCCTCCCACCCTGCTCCGTGCCAGCGCCCGGGGCCAGCGAGCCCTCCCCTCAACGGGCCGCCTGTCCGTCCCCCTGCAGCGGCGTCTGCTTCAGCTTCCTTTTCTCGTGGCTGCTGATGCTCTTGGTCTTCGGCACGTTCATCACTGGAGGGAACGTGCGGACGGTGCTGTGCAAGCCCTGGGCCAGCCAGGAGGTCTACCAGGTGAGTCGGTGCACTGGCCAAGCCGCCGGGCCGAACGGGTGAGCGGGCGGGTCAAGCAGGGCCCACGCGCCTGAGCCGGGAGGAGGAAGCGGGAGTCCCGCGCTGGGAATTGCGTGCTCTCGGGGTCCGTGTGTGCTTCACCCCAGCTGTGGGGCAAGACGAGAAGCTGGTTTAGACCCTGCCAGCGCTGCCCCCCCCCCGCCCAGGATGTTGCATCCCAGGCTCATGGGCCAGATTTGGCCCCCGCCGGGGTCCCTGGCAGCTCCACCCCCTGCCCTGGGCACTTCTCCATCCCCACAGCTACCTACATTTTGTGGCTTCCTGACTTTCGCAGAGTTTTTTCTCCTACGAGTAAAAGGTGAGGATTGGGGTCCTGGTTCCCTCCCCCAAGTTTTTGGCTGCATGCCTGTCTAATGACCGGAAGAGTGGAGGATCCTTGCTTCTGAAAATGCTGCAGAGAGAAGGGGGGGCAGGGGCGGGGGGGAGGGGATGATGGGAAATCTCAGCCCCCTTTTTTCATGAACGGAGGAGAGTGCTGTTTTCTTTCTTTGGCGAAACAATGGCTGCTTCAATGGGGTGGACCTGGGTGAGGGGCTGCAGCTAAGCTGCCCTGGGCTGCTGCTTCTGCGGGGGTTTAGTGGGCGGGAGCAGCGGGTGTGTAAACCTTCCGTGCAGCCGGAGAGCCCGTGGGTGCCTCCTCCTAGGCCGGGATCCTCATGTCTGCCGAGCAAAGGCCCCGCGCGGCCAAGGTGCGCCTGGCACTCTTCCGCACGCCGCCCGGGCATGGTGCCTGCCACTCGGTGCGGAGCAATCCAATTAGGTGACCTCCTGGCCCTTCCCTTCACTCGCCCTGGGCGCTGCCGGCACACAGAGACTGGTGCTGATGAATTAATCGTCTCTCGTCAAATCGCAATTAACATTCGCTCTCCGTTTCGAAGGAAGAGCCTTGCCGCTGCTGGCTCCTTCCAGCCGGCAGCGAGCGGGTCATGCATGGAAGCCTGGTGGGGGTGCAGGCGCACGCAGGAAGGGGAAAGATGGCGATCGAATAATCCGTGGAGTGCAAGTGTCACACTCAGCCACTGTCACTTTGCCCAAGACTGAGTTCAGAGACGCTTGTACTGAAGGAGGCGCTACAGAAACCGTTCGGTGCTTATGGATTCCCCCTCTCCCCCAGCCCGTTCTCTCTCTCATCCCTGGATTGCACTCCCATCCTTTTTATTATTTATTTAGGAAGCTTCTATGCCGCCCCATTCGCCGAAGCCTCAGTGCGGCTCACAACGATAAATAAATACATATTAACCATATAAAAACAATATAATTGTTCCACTGAGCTCCACTGAGATTTTGAGGCGTGCCCTCTTCCACCCCTCCCCTGAGAACACCCTTACCTCTGGGGTACCTCCATGGTCAGCGTTAATCAGAGTTCATGGATATCTTACTCCTCTTTCCAACCTCAGTTCATTGACACACCGGGTAATCTGCCTCCGTCCATGAACATCAGCTGGCGCCTTGGCCTGAAGGAGGACCTCAACGTGACCACCGCTTATCAGTGAGTGCCTTGCCCTGTGGAGGAGGGGCCCCCGCGCCTTGATTTTGGACTGGGTGCCTCCTTCCGACAGAGCTGACTCCTCAAGGGCAGAGACAAAACCTTTGCGAGGAAGGAGCTAAAATTAGGATTGCTTAGAGCAACCCTGATCTGCTTCGTATTTGGCTTTCTGGACAGCTTTTGTGTGCGTACGATCGGCCTCTTTGCACTGCAGCAAACTGGCTTTGCAAACCGAACTGCGGTGACATGTGACTTGCAGAACAGTCTCCCTCCGTGTTTTTATGTTTTTAGAAGGCGATGGGGGAACAGGCAGCAACTGGGCTGGCGGGGAGGGGGCGGTGGTGGTGAGCAAGCCCGTGGCATTGTGAAGCAAAGCCAGAGGGCAGAAGGCAGCCGATTCCCCCCCCCCCCCGCCCGTCCTCTTTTGTGGCAGGCAATGCAAGAATGGTGCAGGTCTCTGGGAAGTTCTGCAGCTGGAAGGCAGCTATAGCCTGAATGAGCATCTCAAGGTGGAAAAGGTAAGTGGCCGGGAGCAGCCCTGCTGGACGGCAAGGCGAAGCTGCTGCCTGGGCGCCCGCAGCGTCTTTTCTGCTGGAGTCCGTGGTGGCTAAAACGCTGCGCTTCCTGCCCCTCTGCTCGGTGCCGGGGTGAAGTCTGTGCTTCTCCGGGGGTTCAGGAGAGGCAGGGGGCGGGCGCTCCGGCAGGCAGACCCGAGGGGGTCCTGCACGTGGCCCGTCTGAATTCAGCCTGCTCCCAACCACGTCTGTCTGCTTCCCGGCTCCAGTACACTGCAGCGTTTCAGAAACGGGTCCGTGATTTCAACATGCACTTCGAAGACATTGTGCTGTTAAATGCAGACGCAAAGAAGGACCTGGAGACCTTCCGGGACAGCCAGGTTGACCTGATCGACTATGCGGCCTTCACAGCTCAGGTGGGAAGGAACGGAGACTCGATCGGATTCTGCTCAGGCGCCTCTGATCGCCGCATGGCCTGCTGTCCACTCCACCCCTCCTCTGGCAGAAAAGTGGCGTTTGCCGGATGAAGGCCAGGTGGCCCGGGCAGAGCGCTCCCTTCTCCTTCCGGTCCCCAACCACAGTCTCTCTCATCTTTCCGCTGGGACGTGCCCCATGCCATGGATGCTCTGGAAGGTCCCGTGGCAAAACCCAACGGGGGGTGCTGCAGCGTGGCCTTCGCGGGATGCCTGAGGGCCCCCGGTGTTTTTCTGGTCTGGACAGATGTCTGCAGAGGTGCTTGTTGGCCCAAGCCGGAAGCGGCGTAAGAGGGCGGGTGAGCGTCGCCATGTGGTTTCAGGTCACGGCGATCCCAGCTTTATTTCAAGTTCTGCAGTGGGAGCCGTTCTTTTCCTGGCTTCTTCTCAGCTCAGCTCATGCGAGGCGGCTGGAAAAGCTCCTCTGGGACGACACGGCGGGCTTTTCGGAGAACCGGCGGCGCGCGATGGCCTCGTGCCTGGGCTGGCGGGCTCCACTTGGGACCTCTGCCGCAAACCGCCTAGAGCGGGCGCGGGGAGCCTGCTTCATCCCGAGGGGCAGATTCGACTTCGGTGAAGCTGTGGGGTGCCCCATTGCAGCGGTGGGAAGGGGCCAAGGAAAGGGGGCGGGGACCAAAATGCAACAAATGCTGGCATAGCATCGCTTAAAACTTGCATTGCCTTAAGAGGAAAACTTCAGAGGGGAGGGAGAAAAAATCCCCAAACCTTCCGTGGCTGGCGGGAAGGGCCTTCTGGGGAAGGGGTGTGGCCGGGCAGTGGCAGGCAGGGCCTCTGGGGAAGGGGTGTGGCCGGGCAGTGGCAGGCAGGGCCTCTGGGGAAGGGGTGTGGCCGGGCAGTGGCAGGCAGGGCCTCTGGGGAAGGGGTGTGGCCGGGCAGTGGCAGGCAGGGCCTCTGGGGAAGGGGTGTGGCCGGGCAGTGGCAGGCAGGGCCTCTGGGGAAGGGGTGTGGCCGGGCAGTGGCAGGGCCTCTGGGGAAGGGGTGTGGCCGGGCAGTGGCAGGGCCTCTGGGGAAGGGGTGTGGCCAGGCAGTGGCAGGCAGGGCCTCTGGGGAACCCCATGAGTGAAGTTCTCGCCCATGCACTCGAGGGCGTCCTCTCCCTGCCCCATCTGTGCTATGGGAATAATGATACTGGGGCCTCTTCTGGAGGTGCTGGGGTTTGGCCCGGTATGGTGATTTCTGCTGCATTTCTCCCCAGCTGCACAAATCGGTGGTGAGGACAAACATGGACGGCTTGGCATTGGATCTTGAGAGACTGAGCAACCTCCAAGTAGGTGGACGGATCGGCAGCTCCCTTCTTCCCTGGGCCCCGCGGGAGGAGAGTGCAGCTGCGGCATCTTCGCTACATTCCCATCCTTGCTTCCCGGCCAACCTGGCGTATGGGTGTTCCTTGCAGAGTGACAGGTCTGTGAAAGAACAACTCGCGGATGAAGCCCAGAAGCTCAGGAGAATTCAGAATATGACAGTCCTCAAGATGAAGGAGCTGGTGGTAAGTGTGCAACGCGTGACAGCGAAGGAAAGCAATGCTCGCGACGTCTGCGCATCGCCCGCCTTGCCGTGTCTTATGAAAATTCTTTCAGCCTCAGCTGGAGTTCCTCAACGTTTGCCTGGATTGCTGCAGACTTAGCTTTGGGCAAATAATCGTGGCCTTCTTGTCGTTGTCAACCAAGTGCTGTTGCGGGCTGCTTGCGGGGACGGGGGGCAATTAAGCATCACCCAGAAAGAGGGCAAGTGAGGGTGCCGTTTTGCATGGACGAATGTATGGAGAGAGGCACATTTGGAAGTGATCACTGCAACGCACATAGAAATGCATCTTGGTGTGAGCTGGTGGACCACTTCATGGCCCCGATCTGCTTTCCCTTCTTGGGCTGTTTCTGTCTGAGCTGGACTTGGACAGGCTGGGCTTCAGATAGAGCAAGGCCATGGGCTTCTTCAAATTTGAGACACTCCTCTGTAAGATAGGACACATGGCCACCCTAGCGGCCAAAGGGCAGGTTTCCTCGTTGCTGCAATGTGCCATCAAGTCATCTCTGCCTTATCTTGACCCTACAGATGTGAGCCCTCCAAAATGTCTTGTCCTTGACGGCCCTGCTCGGCTTTAGCAAATGCAAGGCTGCGGTTGCCTTTTAGGTCAACGGGACACCAGCGATGGTCTATGAAATACAGCTCACCTCTCTCTCTCTCTCTCTCTCTCTCTCTCACTCTCACTCTCACTCTCACTCTCACTCTCACTCTCTCTCCCTTCCTTCTTTCCTTCCTAGGTGAAGCTGAGAGAAAGTGTCCATTTCTTATCAACAAAGGCCCCCAGCTTCCAGGTATTACTAAAGGGTCTGCAATTGGGGAGTGCAATTTTAATTAAGGCAAGTCCATTCTGCATTTGGGGGAAAAACCATTTAGGACTCTGAAATACAGAATTATCTTCTGCTATGTTACAACCAAATGAAGTCTGCTAAAATGGAAAGCGATCAGATCTGATTGGCATTTTAATTGATCGATTATTATTATTATTATTATTATTATTATTATTATTATTATTATTATTATAACATTTCTATGCCACCCCTTGCCGAAGCCTCGGGGCGGCTTACAACACAATAAAATACATTGAAATACAATAGAACATAATAAATTACCATAAAATACAAAAATACCAAAAAATACATTGAGTCACAAACATCATAATATAAAATTAAAATTATCAGTATAAAATAAGTAAATAAATAATATAGGAGGGGAAAAGAGAAGGAAGAAGAAGTTGCCCTGGCCAGATCATATATTTTAACAATTAAAATGATGTTTAAATAAAAAGGTCTTTACCTGGCACCGAAAAACCAGTAACGACGGTGCCAGGCGGACCTCTTTGGGGAGTGAGTTCCATAGGTTGGGTGCCACCGCAGAGAAAGCCCTCCTCCGAGTACTTACTCTCCTAATTTCTTTCATGGAGGGTTCCCGGAGAAGGGACTCTCCCGCAGATCTCAAAGGGCGGTCGGGCATATACGGACGTAAGCGCTCGTTCAGGTAGCCAGGACCCAAGCCGTTTAGGGCTTTATAGGTCATAATCAACACCTTGAATTGGGCCCGGGCTTCAATGGGCAGCCAGTGAAGCTGACGGAGGACTGGAGTCATGTGAGCATAACGCCCCTCCCCGTTAGCAACCTGGCAGCTCTATTTTGCACCAATTGAAGTGTTCGGACCGTCTTCAGGGGAAGCTCCACGTAAAGCGCGTTACAGAAGTCTAGGCGGGAAGTCACCAGCGCTTGTGTCACCGTCGCCAGGCAGTCGAACTCCAGGTAGGGGCGCAGCTGATTAATCAGCCGAAGCTGAAGGAAGGCGCTCCTCGCCACCGCTGTCACCTGAGCTTCCAAAGAAAGCTCTGGGTCGAGGAGTACTCCTAAGCTGCGGACCTTGTCCCTAAGAGGGAGTGTTGCACCATTCAGGACCAAGTCAAATCCACCCTCTCCGAAACCCAGTCCGCCAACCAACAGGACCTCCGTCTTGTCTGGGTTGAGTTTCAGTTTATTGGCCCTCATCCATTCCATTACCTCGGCCAAGCACCGGTTCAGCACAGCCACTGCCTCACCTGGATTAGTGGAAAACGAGAGGTAGAGCTGGGTATCATCAGCGTATTGATGATTCCGCAGCCCACACCTCCTGATGACCTCTCCCAGCGGTTTCATATAGATGTTAAATAGCAGAGGGGATATAATGGAGCCCTGTGGTACTCCATGGCATAGCTGCCATGACGCAGAGACATGGTCCCCCAGCACTACCTTCTGGAATCGACCGTTGAGATAGGAGCGGAACCATTGTAAAGCAGTGCCTCCAACCCCCAATCCCGCTAGCCTATCCAGAAGGATACCATGGTCGATGGTATCGAAAGCCGCCGAGAGGTCCAGAAGAACCAACAGGGATGCACTCCCCCTGTCCTTCTCCCTGCACAGGTCATCGTACAGGGCGACCAAGGTAGATTCAGTACTGTAGGCTGCAAATATACATTGCTTGTCAGCTTCAGTTGTTTGGGTTCTTATTGACTAGAAAAAAAGTCACATAGGATTTTCTGGGAAATGCATGTTTTCTCCTAGTTTTGGCTGTAAACTGGAAATAAACCAGTCCCTGCAGTTTCTTATTCATCCAAATGGGTGCAGGTGGGAAAGAGACAAAATGTCTCCTTGAAGTTGCGGCATCTCCATTTCAGTCTCTCCCTGATGTCTTGTGGAAGTGAGGGAAATTTAATCTTGGTGCTGAGTCACTTACTGAGTTCATCAATTAATGCCAGCACCCCAAAGCCTGTTTACTCATGAACAGACCACAGAATGCTTGGGATCGCATCCATAGTCAGTGTACTAATGACCAATGTCATTCATTATCTGTTGCACGGATTGTGGCACCTGCTCTCATGAACACAACTTGCTTGCTCCCATGTTTGTGTCAGTTGAGATTCCTTGTTTTCCCAATTTTGCAGCTTGTCTCCACGATTTTAGCATCCCCTCCTTCCTGCCCCCTCTCCCGCTCCAGTATCCAGTAAACTGGATGATGCACAAGAATAATTGATACCGTTTGGTTCACACAATAACACAATGAGGACTGTTTTCCCTTCCAGCAAGCCGTACCACCAGGGCCTGGGCTACATGTCAAGCCAGGCTGGATTGGGTGATGAGACCCTGGTGTGCTTATGGGCTGAAGCTGCCACGGCTCGTTTAACCCTTGGTGTTTGTCCAGAGCAGCCCCCGTGTGGAATTCCTACTGAGATGAAATGTGCTTTGCTCTTCAGATTCATGGAAACAGAGCGGGGCAGAAGGGGTCTCCCGGGCCATCTAGTCTGACCCCTGGCTCCATTCGGCCCCACTCACAACATGCCCACCATGTGCACGTCCAGCCCATCTTTGAGCACCCTCTCCGATGGGGCCTCAGCTGCCTCCCGTGAAGGCCCATTCCATACCGTTGGGGTCCCAACTGTCAGGAAGGGCTTCCTGGCATCCAAATGGAGCCTGGGTTCCTGCCTTCCTCCGCAGGGGAGAGCAGGTCCCTGCCCCCCTCCGTGTGACACCCCCTCACATCCCTGTTTGCCGCCAACAGCTCCGCTCGGAGCCTGCTCCCCTCCAGGCCGGTTCCCGCAGTTCACCAGCTGCTCCTAAAATGCGTGCAGTGCCCGTTCCGCTGTCGTCCTGAACCTTGGCCCCCACGTAGCTGGCCACTCAGGGACTGCAGCAAGCTTCCTGGGCAGCTCCGTCCTTGCGCGGCCCTCGGCACAGCAGCCCAATGAAGCATGGTGCAGATCCCAGGGCGAGCACCTTGTTCAGTTAGACTCTACCGGGAGAGGCTGCTTGAGAGAAAGACAGCAGGGACCGAGGGATGGAAGCCTCCATCGGGCGTCGTCGAACCCACGTGTGTAGACTGCCCAGGATGCAACTGTACGCATCTGCAATTGTTGTAGGTGCGCACCTTATTGTGCACAGAGTGATGGCCGAGGTCCACATCACACAGAAGCACAAGACTGTCGGGTGCCGGCCCGCCCGCCCTGGCGCCTCAGGTGCTCTGGAAAGCGGCTCTGCCAATTGTGGTCGTCTCAGCTCCCCTCCGGGCCTTTCTGCCCCGACGGCTAAGTGTCTTCCTGCTTCCCCACCAGGCCGCGCTGAACCGGTCTGAGTCCCAGATTGGCCTCGTCAAGGCGAGTTTTTCCGTGCAGACTCAGAGAATCCTGAGGCAGGTGAGCCGGAGAATTTCTCAGCGTGCTGGACAAGGCCAGGCCCCACTACGGCCAAATTGTGTGTGAGAGTTTGGGGACCAGGAGCAGAAATGCCAAATCATCCTCGTCATATCTGTCCTCACCCTCAGGGAAGGAGGGTCGGAGGGGGCATCTTTTGCACTTCCCCTCTTTGGAAGCAGCTGCAACCTTTCAGCATCTCCCATCTTCTTCCAGGAGCTGGACTGCTTCATGAAAAAAGAGGTGGGGTACATCTCCCAGTACCTAAACTGGGTGAGAAGCACGGTAAGTATGGTCTCCCTCTGTGTGGCCTCTTTGGAAACACGTTGGCGTGCATTGGAAAAGCATCGCTGAAGCAGAGGGACACCTTCCGTGGTGTCCAAAAGCTGTGGAGCAGTCAGGAGGGACCGTGATGGATGAAATGAGCAGGATCCCAGGGAGGTTTTACTCACCTGGAGTCCTTCGTGGGGTTTTGGAATTCTTGAGCGTGAAGGTGGATTCTTCTAGTGTATTTTTTGTCCCCATGCCTTGTTGTTGTCGTCCAGTCGCAAAGTGGCACCCGACTCTTTGAGACCCCCTGGACAACATCCCTCCAGATTCTCCTGCCCTGCACCATCCCCTGGAGTGCACCCAAGCCCACGCCCTCCGCTCCAGTGACCCCATCCGGCCACCCCAGCCTCTGCTGCCCCCTTCTCCTTCAGCCTGCACTCCTTCCCAGCACCAGGGTCTTCTCCCAGGAGACCCTCCTTCTCATTAGGTGGCCAAAGCTTTCAGCTTCAGCTTTAGCTCTTGCCCTTCTAAAGAGCCATTGGGGTTGATCTCCTCGAGGACTGACTGACTGGGCCTCCATTTTTCGTCGTTTGGCTATGGCACTGGCCAAGCTGCAAGATGCGGCTTCAGGTGTTACCTGGTGCGGAAACTCCGCTCCCTGCCGGCTCTGTCCCTTCCCACCCGTGGCTTGGCTGGCTTTCCCAGGGGCAGCAGGGCTTTCCAGAAAGGCCCCCGCCTGCCTTACTGAGGTCCTGCCCCACTCAGCCAAGATAACTCGGCTAAGAGGCAGCTTTTCACCTTTGCTCCAGCTAGCAGAGGACGTCGCGTCCTGCCAGCCCGTCTCCACAGCCCTGGACAGTGCCCGGGTGATCCTGTGCGATCGCATCGTGGATCCTTGGGTAAGCGAGTGCCTGGCCGTTCCTCGGCTATCCGGTGCGCAGCCGCCACCACCCACGAGCCGCTTGCCGGGATGCTTCCTCAACATTCCAGCAGTGCCCAGTGCTCCGAGAAGGCTGGGGGTCCCACTGCGGGGGGGGGGGCACTCTGCGCCCCTGTGCCTCTGGCATAGGAGCCCTCCCCGGCCGGGCCTCCTCCGCCTGCGCCACCCGCTGTGCAGGGCCTCTCAGGGTCTCCGTCTGCCCTTTTCCCCAGAACGCCTTCTGGTTCAGCCTGGGCAGCTGCACCTTCTTCCTCATTCCCAGCATCTTCTTCTCCATCAAGACCGTCCAGCATTTCCGCCCCGTCCGGCACCGACTTATGTGAGTGGAGGGCAGAAGTGGGGGGGGTCCGGGGGGGGCAGGACCCCTCCTCTAATTTTATCTGCTTGCCTCCTGAGAGGGTGGCCATGGGGGCAGATAGTGGTCCTGCCAGGGGTCCCCTGGGATGCCATCGGAGGAATGAGGGGAAGGGGAGGGGCAGCCCACCGTGCAGTCATGTCCTTCAGGCATCATGGGTGATGGTGCTGCGTGAAACCTGGCGAATACGTGTCCCTCAGCTCCCGGGGGAGGGGAGCAGTCGGGGGGGGCAGCCGGTTGCATTCCCATCCCTGCTGATGGTGAAGTTCAGGCTTCGCCCTGTGCGCCTCAGCAGTCCAAACCGGCATCTGAGTTAGTGCTGTTCTGTCAGGGAGCTAGCGGCCAGCTGAAAACCTGCAGGAAAACTCGGCCAAAGGCAGGCCACGAGCAGTCCTGCTCGACGTGTGAGAAACGCTGAGACTGGGAGAGAAGCATTTAGCACAAAGCCAGCCACGGGGGCGGCTGTTTCGCTTCATGTTCCCGTGGTGCAGAGATCCCTCCCAAATTAGCACAAGCCCCTGAGACCTGGAGTTCCGGTGCTCCTGCTCTCCTTGGGCCCAGCGTGGAATAGGTCAGCGAGGCATCCTTTCATTAAGTCCATCTGCCATGATGTTGGGTGGGATGTGTAGTGTTCTATGTCTGAGAAAGAGAGATATTAAACCGATTTTAAGAGAACAGGTTTTGGAACACTGATCAACCAAGTGAGATTAATGAAAGTCCACATGGACATGGCAGCACGGAAGCCACTGGCTCGCCCTGCCAGGCACCCTCGTTTAGCGACCGGTCCCCAAAGCCCTGCGGGTGCGTCTCCCGTGGCAAAACCTACTGCTGTGCAAGGTAGTGCAGCGCCTCCCCAGTTTTCTCATTGCTGGTCTCCCATGGTGCCCCCAGCTCGACCGGCTCAGAGGAAACCTGTCCCTTCCACATCCCGCGTGTGACGTCGCTGAGGCTGTAGGAGGGAGCTGCGCCAGGCGCCCAGGTGAGGAAATGGGCCCCTCCGCCCAGGACGCCTTCCACCTTCCTCTCTGGAAAGGTTTCAGGAGTGGCGCGTGGCCGCTGGGATCGCGAAAGGCCCGCTCCCAGCTGTGGCCGGGGCCTGAGTGCCAGGGGCCGCACTGCACGGTGCCTACGCACATGTTCCCCGAGAGCAGGAAGCAGGAGCAGAGCTAGGCTGAGCCCTTGGTTGTGCTCGGGACGCATCCTGACGCACCCTGGGGGGCTGCCCGGGGGTCCTTCGGACTGAGCAGATGCCTTGCACAACTGCTGCAGCTGATGCGGAGGGTGCTCTGGGGGCTGCCTGCGCATGGGTGCTCACCCCGGCCGCTGGTTGTGTCTTCTCAGTTGCAGGAATCGTTGCAGCAGGTGTCAGATCCTTCTACGGTCCGGCCCTCCACCTCCACTGCAGATGCTCCGAGGGGCGGCCCCGGTGCACTCTGGACCCCCACACTCTGCCTGTGACCACTCATCTCCTCCCCCCTCGTGGATTTTGCTTTTTTCCAAGCACCCTTGCTGATGCTCCTCCCTCGGTGGGAAGCGAGTCCTTGTGTAGAGGGCAGCAAGGCCGTCCTCACATGCCCAGAGGCGCTCCCACTTTTTCATGCTGCCCGTGCATGAAGCCCAGCACCTCTGTGGCAACCCAGCCTCGCCTGCAGCGGGTGCCTTCAAAGCCCTGGCACCCTTCCAGCACCTCACGGGTTACTTGAGTCTTTCGTAAAGTCACTCGTGGTCAGAACTGTGGGTGGCTTGCCTGGGGCAACCACGGCGGCTGACGCTGCCCAAAGTTGGAGGAATAATGGGCATCTGTACCCCCTGTGGCTCCCCCACACCCCATTCCACCATAAGCAGCTTAAGGCACTGAAGGTACGGACACCCGGAACCTCAGGAATCATGGCATGCAAGCATGGCACTGGTGGGCCAGCATTTGGCGCCACGGATCCAGACGCTCCCCAGCGAGGCAGCTGGTGGCCCTGCTCTCCCCCCGCACCCGCGCAGGGGGCTGAGAAGGCCGGTCCCTCCAGGCTCCAGGAGGTGCCCTTGAGGCAGGAACCACGAGGGGAAGCGCTTCCACAGCCGGTCGTGCAGGTTGCCCTTCGGCGCACTGGAAAGCACGTGCAGAGCAGGTTCCGTGCAACGACTCCACGCTCACGGCTATAGGCACGTGAGGTGTGCCGGCACAGGTGGCCCGTGACGGATGGAGGCTTCCCAGCGCAACACAGCGGCTCCTGTGCGTGACTTCCCGGGGGGGAGCTGTGCGTGGCCCCCACCTGCCTCTTCCCGCGTGGCAGAGCTTCCGGTGCAGGGAGTCACATGCACGTGGAGCCACCTGCGGGCCGTTCCAGGCACTGGGAGGCCGGCCCAGGAGCGGGTGGTCAAGAGCGAGCGGCAGGCTCCCGCTTCGCCATGCGTCTCCGCTGCATTTGCACTTTCTATGGCAAGGTGGAAACGGCAGCCACCGGAGGTGGGTTCCTCAGCAACGCCTCGCGTGCAGCGTCTTGGCCTGCTTCTCTTTTCCTTATCTGTGGCACCCTTTCCTCTGCAAAGAGGCACAGACACAAAACGGTAGAAACAGTGTCCTTTTTTAGCAATGCTCCTTCACATCCCATGCTCGCAAGAATAATCCCTGAGGCAGCTTTTTGCAGGTGGCACCCACAGAAGCGCAGCACCGAGCGAGGCTTTGGATGCGTGTACCTTTGGACTCTGCACTAAAACGACACGCCTGTTCGGGCACATGGAACTCTCCCATGGACTGTGGGCCCTTTGACAGCTGTCCGGCCCGTCTTTTATCTGGAAAGCTGCTGCCATTTGCCCCGAACTCTTTGGGAACATTGGCCAATCGCTAACTAAATAAAGGCAGTCTTAAAAGGTGTAGCTGTCAAAAGCTCTCTCTTCCTAGGCTTAACTGGGCACATCTCCTTGGCGAGCAGCTTGAACGGATGAAGGAACGCTGGTGTTCAAGGGTGTCCCATGGTTTCCATCATGATGCAAGGGTTTCTAGCCAGGTGGAAGGGCAGTTTTATTGGGCTGTCCCCCTGAGGAAGCTTGTGATGTGCTCTCAGGAGAGAATTTTAGTAGATGCAGGTTTTCTCACTATTGTGTCCTGGCAGACACTAAACCTGGCAAGGTGTTCCTCTTCGGAAAGACTTTTAAAATTAATTAGAAATAGGGTTTGAGTTTTAATACCAGGATCAAGACATAGGCACTGAGAGCCTATTTGCAGACTTCTCAGTACATCAGAAATACCATGTGTGAACTCTTAATTGGAAGAACAGAGGAGCCCTGCTTTATGCGATTGCTGTCTGACTCCCATGTCTCAGAAGTGCAGAAAGAATGAATTTGGGCAGTCCTGCTTCACAGACTGTCAGGGACCAGCCTTCCGCCTTGCACTGCCTTTGGCAAATGCTCCTTATCCTCCAATGGGCATCTGGTAAGCACAGTCTCTGAGCATGCATGGAGCACGTCATGGAACCCACACGGGAGAGTCTCTGAGAGCTCCCCTTTTGAGCAACTCGGCCCCACTTCTCCGGGAGACAGACCGGCCTGTTGGATTTATGCCGCTGCGCTGCTTGGCCAGCCCTCCTCTCCCGATGCTGCATCAGGGAGTCCAGGATCATGCCTGACTCACCTTTTCGCTGGGACTCCCTCCTGGCACTTGCAGGCTGTGGCTACCCTCGGGGTCCGCCTGAACCCCTGGGGAGGGCAGGCTTGAGAGAAGCCCCCCTGGCTCTTTTTATCTCACAGGACCCCTCTCCTTCCACTCCAAGAGTCCGAGTCTCCCTGGTCGAGAGACCCGTGCCAAGAGCAGCGCCCTCTCCCCTTTCCAGCGCAGACGGAGCGGGTGCCCGCAGCAGGCAGAGTCAAACTCTGCAGGGGTTTAGAGACTGCTCACGGCTCTGCGCTTGTCCTCGCCACGACCTGCCCTGCTGCCAAAGTTCACGGGCGCTGCCATCCCCAGCGGCCCACGCAGGAGGATGTGGGGTGATCCACACATGCTGGCCCATTCAGTATATGAGCTTTGGAGGGACAGCGCGTGTCCTGGGAACTCCTTTCTCTAATCTCGGAGGTTCTGGGACAGGTGAAATAGGAATATTTATGCAATGCTGAAGGAACACATTTTGGGCTTTCTCGTTAGCAGTGTTGCCTTAATTCCCTGCATGCATGCAAAGCAAAATGGCAACAGGCGCAAAAATCATTCCCATGGACACAACTTTTGTCACCCACCTGTCTCCAGCCCTCCTGATTTTTTAAAAATGAAAAATAATTTATCTGGGAGGCTCGCATGCTGTGAAGTGACATGCTCATTCCCAGCACCCTCTTTGTTTCAAGGCCACTGCTGATCCCTGCACAGGTGTGTACATTTTATGGGAGCAAGACTGCGATGGCTTGGCCTGGTTCTCAGTTTCTGAGCCCAACCCTCAGCCTGCTTCCTGTGAGAGACGTCCGAGCAGAAAAGTGGATTCCAAGAAGAGCACCCTTGCCCTGGCTCCACCGTGGCTTGTGCATTCGCTTTCCACCTTTATCAGCGACCCTGATGTCCACCGGAAAGCAGGATTCCCTCCTCCTCCCTCGCGCTCCCGCTCTCCGTCCATGTCTCAATCTGTAGGCCTGCCTTATGCTTAAGACAGCAAAGAAAATTTTTAAGAGCTAAAATGACACTCAAAGAAATTGGCCATTAAAAATAACTGATGGAAAACGGCATCTCAGCTGAAAACTACCTTCTTTCCCCAGAAGGACCACTCAAATTCTGCTCATTTTTTCACCTTTGATAAATGGGCTATTACTCTCACTAATTTGGGAAGTCCCTTCTGTGTGGAATGGATGTCACAGTCAGTATTCACCCTCCAGCTGCCCTGCCTCACTAGATCACTTTTCTCTGCCCCTAATCCCAATTATGTCTTTGTCCAGGACCATAACTGTGCCAAAACCCAGGCCAGCGGAGCACATGCACACTTCCCCTTCGAGAGGGAATCGGCCCGCTCTCCCTCGGTGCTCCGTTTTGTCCTCTCCGGTCCCCATGTGATTCTTTTCTTTTGCATTCCTCAAATTGTTCCTCAAGATCCTTGCCTTCTTGATAGCTGAAGGACACCCTGTAAGCTCCCTGGGGCAGAGACTTTTGGCTGGTGTCACCACCTGATATATTTTCCGCACTGGGCATCTCACACATCCGGTGGACGTCGGAACAGCGCTTTGGAAGCCCACAGACAATTCCAGGGCCTGGAGGAGAGGCGGTCCTTTGGGGGTTTCCCACAACCCCAAAAGCTGAGCCCGGGAGTGGGGGTTTTTCCAGTGGGTTGTGGGGCTCATCTCTTTCCCATTATTACCAGAATCTCCACCCCTCACATCTTCTGGTCTCATGGGAAAACACAAGCGGCTTGTTGGGCTTCCTTGCCAGGTCAGATACACGGAGAACCTGCCTGGGAGATGCCTCCTCCAGGAGCAGGACAGGTCTGGGGAGCCGCAGGCTGGGGGCCACGTCCTTCCTCTGGGTTCCCCACTGGCCACCCCCTTTGTCCTGGCCCTGCCCTGGGTCCCTCCACCCGGGGGTCACTGGCTGGTTTCCTGGCTTTTGCAGCCTTCCCAAACCCACTGCGCCCAAATGTCTGCACAGGCCGTCCCAAGTGTCCCTGCTAAGGCTTGGGCACTGCCAGTGAGAGCTTTAAGCCACGGCGTGCTGATGCTTCACCCCCTACCCCTTTTGCTCTGGAGACTGAAAAGATTTTAAAAGATCCATGCAGGGCTGGAAAGAGACTTTTGCAGACATGCTGTTATTTTGGAGTTGTCTAATATTAGGATGACCTTTCACTCTGTTTTCTGTACGCTTGTGATTTTGTAAAGAGTATGATGTGAAGGCAGTTATGAATTCATACTTTACTTCAAGTCTTAAGGCATGTGCTCTTAATTTTAGATCTATTTAGCAGATACATAATGCTCCAGAATGTTAAGTTATATGATATACAT